ATTTGTTTAAAATTGGACTGGCCCAAGTCCGAGAATTCTTTCTTCTCTTTTATTATTATTATTATTATTATTATTATTTTTTAAATTAATTTATCAAATAATAGCATATAAAACCATAAACAACATTTTACATACAATTGACATTAATTATACTAACATCACTTAATGACAGAAATAAAAATGAAAGATGCACATTTTTTTTATTTATTTTTTTATTGAATAAAATAAACACGGACGGGATTACAGATAACTAACGAATATGCCACACAAAATCCAAAACTTGTACAGCAGGACCATTTGTCACATTTTTTATTTCTTTTGGAGCGATTGTCGCGCGAAACAAAAATCACGTGCTCACAGGCTTAAAAATTATTTCTGCTGAAAAACCATTTTTTTAAGCAAATCCGAATAGGCTCATATTTTGTTTTTTATTATATTATTTATTTTGTCTTTTACTTTTTCCTTTTATTTTTTCTTTTTCTTTTAATAATTTTTAGTCTAACTTTTTTATGTTTGCTCATTATACGCGTGAAGTTTACGCATTTTGTCTAACTCGGTCTTGAAGTTGACACATATATGATAAGAGTGGTTTAAAGTAATATGTTTAAATAACTATGAGTGTTTGAATAAAACTTTATAAAGCATCGGGGCCGGAATAACAAAACAGAATAATTAAGAGTGTGCCTAAAAAAAAAAAACTTCCGTATATTCCAAAATTGTCCTTGTTCACGTGCCCCTAGAGCCACTACATATATAGACACATCACTGCGAAACCCTAAAACCTCTTTTTTTCTCTTTCTGCCTCTCTTTGCTTAATTTGGGGTGTAAAGGGGTGAGCAAGTTTCAACTGTGCAGCCATGGCTCTGGTATGTTTCTTAGATCTTCATTCCTTCCTTTTGATGTTAAAAAAATAGATCTGAGTTTTCAATTCTTTATGATTTATAGCTAAAGATTTAATCTTTACTACTGGTTTTTCAACCTGTTAGTATATCTCATGTTCTTTTGGTTGTGGGGTTTGTAGTGTTTATTGAATTATTAATGTACTTTATTTTGCTAAGTTCTTCATCTTGGTGTCTTTAATAGTTTTATTTGGATTTTTTTTGAGTGTAATATGAATTTTATAATTATAATATCTAAGTGAAGGTTAATTATTTGCTGAATTTTCCATCTGCCTATGCCTATTGGCTATTTGAAATTGTCTTCTCCTAAAGTTTTTTGCATGTATGAATCACTCAATTAAGTAGAGTGCGTATCACTGTATTGGCTGAACTGTGAAGTCCTTTTTTTCTCCTTTTCTAGATAGCATTTGACCCTCTTGCACGCACCTTGACAATTCCACTGATTACTTATTACGTCGCACTATCACAAGTACCGGTAACTTTGCCCACCAAGAATTAAGCAGACACGTAGTTCTTGTTTTTTTGGCCTCTGCTGTCGTTTGAACATGTGAACTCATGGTTTTCCTCCCGCTTCATTGACCACTAGGCAACACCCTTCAGTGCCTTGCCTTGAGTGGGGTGAATCTTTTTTCTATTTAGAGAGAAGGGGCTTCACATTCTTAGTATGAGCCTTTGTTTTTAGTTGCTCTGTCCTATAAGCATCTCTTTTCCCTTGAGAAAGACACCTTACAAAGAAGACCAGGTTCTGTATGCGCCGAGTCAAATGGCATTCAAATTATTATTTTTTATTATAAAGAATGTGGCATCTTGAAAGTTTTTAGGATTTTTGAGGTGTTTAACTTGATGATATAGATATATTGTGCCTTTATTGAATCTGTTGGAGTGGAGAAAACATCAGAGGACGCAAATCTATTTGGATTGTTAGCTGAGAATTGAGGTTCTGCGTTATTTTTTTTCTTACAACAATAATGGTGTTCCGATTGATTAAAATGGGACATTATACATGAATGCTAGAAGCTTTTCCTTAGCTACTTTTTCAGTAGCAGAACTCTCTTAAGAACAAGTGCAGATGATATGTCCAATTGTATTCTGTTCTTCTTGGGGATGAAATTTCTTGACAATATCCTCGCATTTAAATTTTCTTCATTATATATGTTGCAGGTTTTGCACTCGACAAATAACAACAAAAATGCCTCAAAGGCACTCATTGCTGCTGAGTACACAGGTGTAAAGGTTGAACTTGCAAAGAATTTCGAGATGGGTGTATCAAACAAGACACCTGAGTTTATCAAGATGAATCCAATTGGGAAGGTATGTTATTATTCTACAGAACCCTATATACTTTCTCATGTACTTCAGACAAGGTTTTGCTAATCTTGGTTGGTGTGTGCTTTTTGACCTGTAGGTTCCTGTGCTTGAAACACCTGATGGCCCTGTTTTCGAGAGCAATGCTATTGCACGCTATGGTGAGGCTATTTCTCATTTTCTTTTATTTGACTTATGATCATATAACAGAAATAAGTCTGACATTGACCTCCTTTAATTCATGCAGTAACTAAATTGAAGCCTGACAATCCTCTCTTTGGCTCTTCGTTGATCCAATATGTATGTATTTTGGTTTCTTAGTTACATTTTTCCTTTGTGAAATTCTTATTCCTCAATTTATGTTCACTTTCTTCTTGATAGGCTCAAATCGAGCAATGGAATGATTTTTCTGCCACTGAAATTGATGCAAACATTGCGCGATGGCTGTACCCACGCCTTGGCTATGGTCCATACATTCCTCCAGTATGTCTCGTACTGTGCACTATTTAATAAAATTATTCTGAAACAATAGAAAAGGTAAATCAACTGAAAATCTTCTTGTTTTGCAAAAAGGCTGAGGAAGCTGCAGTAGCTGCATTAAAGAGAGCTCTTGATGCTTTGAACACCCATCTTGCATCTAACACGTACTTGGTTGGAGAGTCAATCACATTGGCCGACATTATAATGGGCTGCAACTTGAGTATTGGTTTTGGTATGATAATGACTAAAAGCTTTACCAAGGAATTCCCACATGTAGAGAGATACTTCTGGACTGTGGTTAATCAGCCAAATTTCTGCAAGATATTGGGTGAGGTGAAACAAGCTGAATCTATCCCAGCGCCCCCATCCAAGAAGCCTGCACCGGCGAAGGAACCTTCAAAACCCAAAGCAAAGGAGGAGCCAAAGAAAGAGGTTAAGAAGGAAGAACCAAAGTTTGAAGAGGAGGAAGAGGCACCCAAGCCTAAGGCAAAGAATCCTCTTGATCTATTGCCTCCAAGTAAGATGATTCTGGATGAGTGGAAGAGGCTTTACTCCAACACCAAGACCAACTTCCGCGAGGTTGCCATTAAAGGTATATTTTAGTTTTTTCTGTTTTGTTACCTATCTTTCTTATCAAAAGCTTAGTGAGATTTCTCAGTGTTAGTTATTTAAAGATATTTGCTTTCTCCAATCAGTGCATGTTTAGTTTTTCTTAAAAAGTAACCTATAATTTGTTCAAGGAGAGGAAGGTCCCCGAGAGTTGTTCCTTTTTTCATTGTTGAATCTCTCGTTTGAATGATCAATTTATGATCTGCTGTATCTGATTAATCACTAATCTTTACAGAAAATTTTATCTTCTGACCATTTTTAGTTTCAAGTATAGGTGGAGAATTTGGAAATCTAGCAATAGAAGAGGAAATTTTCCACTTCTTTAAGAAAACATTTGAACTGGTTCCTTGTGAGAATCTTACCCCGTACTGTTCTTGTTTTGCAGGTTTCTGGGACATGTATGATCCCGAAGGATATTCTCTCTGGTTCTGTGATTACAAGTACCAGGATGAGAACACTGTTTCCTTTGTAACCTTGAACAAGGTTGGTGGTTTTCTGCAGAGAATGGATCTGGCACGCAAGTATGCTTTTGGTAAGATGTTGGTAATTGGTTCTGAGGCCCCATATAAGGTGAAGGGCTTGTGGCTTTTCCGTGGAAAAGAAATTCCCAAGTTTGTTATGGATGAATGCTATGACATGGAGCTCTATGAATGGAAGGAAGTAGACATCAACGATGAAGCACAGAAGGAGCGTGTCAACCAAATGATTGAGGATTACGAGCCCTTTGAGGGAGAGTCTCTGTTGGATGCTAAGTGCTTCAAGTAAACATTTTGTTGCATTCGGCGATGGTTCCTTTCCCCTGAGGTTGTAGTTTACCTTGGTTTTGTCCTCCCAAATTTACTTAGATTCTTGTTTTGAAAACTTATCTTGTCTTTTTTGAGAAAGGTTAAAACATATGTTGTCTTAAGAGGTTTTCTTGTCTTTGTAGTAGTATGTTTTCTAAATTATCGGTTTGACAAAGAGAACTGGGATATATTTTTGATTGAGTTGTTTATCCTTTTCCAAGTAAAGCAGTTTTGGCAGTGCTTCATTCACATGAATCACCTTTTGCAACTTGCATGTTAACTTGTATAAGGTGGATTAATTTTTCTTGATTTTTGTGTTTGCAATAGAAGCATAATCATTAGGCATTAAAGACTCTCTGCCTTTGGTCTAGTGGTACTGTCGTAAGATATAGGTGTATCATATTATACATGGTAGGGTAGCCTGGTGCATTTATGCGCGGGGTTTGGGAAAGGGCCGTACCACAATGGTCTATTGTATGTAACCTTACCTTGTATTTTTGCAAGAGGCTACTTCCACGGCTCGAATCCGTGACCTCCTGGTCACATGGTAACAACTTTACCAGTTACATCACGGCTCTTCTTCCATAGTATACATGGGTGAAAATCCGTATTATACATGGGTGAAAAATATATTTAACTGGAGAAAAAAAGAGAATCATATAATTCTTAGGCAATATATTCGAGTAAAATGAAGGATAAATTCAATTCTGCAATGAAGATAGCTCAGTTTGTGCTATGGAGAAAACTGGGGCAATAGTGAGTTCTCACAGTAAGCAAAGTTCTAACTGATTTAAAATTCCTAAGTACTATTAGGAAAAAACTAATATGAATATATTATAGTTATGTTATATAATACAAATAAGAAAAGGATTAATAAGTAGAATTATAGGTGATTACAAAGTTCAAAGTAATAAATGTAATAGAGTTCGTATTGTATTTGAAGATAGTAAAATACATTTATTTATGACTAAACGGTAACTGTGAAGTAGGACTCTCCTTATATAGTGAAGCTTTTTAACCTTTTAGTGTGCGCAGTATTGTTTTAGAACAGAGGCAATTTAATTACAGTAGTATATAAGGGAAGTTATACTGCCTTTTTTATATTTTTCTTCTTTAATTAAATTAATAGCCTATGATAGTTTTGAGCAGCTACGTTGACTGTTTACTGATCTCCATTGCTTTCTATTCTGATCCAATATAAAGATTCGCCGGGAAAAGATATAAACACAACCACACAAGTTATCCTACATGCAAAAGATATCCACGACAATATTCTTAAAGTTGTGTTTTTTGAACACATATTTTTCTTTATTTTATTTTTCAGGTGAACGCTGCACGTATTTTATTAGACAAAGAAGATGAACTTATGCTAAAACATGATATAACTACAAAAAAAAAAAAAAAAAAAAAAAAAAAAAAAAAAAAATTAGCTCGCGAATCTGTTGCTAAATTGCTTGTAGCTAACAATTTTTTGATAATATATCGCTAATCAAGCTGTATATATATAGCTATAGAATTTGTCCGTCACCAATTTTTTAGCTACAGAATTTAACTGTCACCATTTTTTTTTTTTTTTTTTTTTTTTT